CAGCTTAGCCGCAAGAACACGGCTGACCACCCGGGACACCATCACCCGCGAACCGGGAAGAACAGAACCGGATCAACGCAAAACGCGCTCCGGACCCAAACGCCGTGGCACGCAAACAACAGCAGAGGGCCGCCACTGAACACAAAAACGACACACCCCCGGCCCGACCAACAAAGCACCAACAAACCCTGGACCCCTCCAGAATGCAGCAGCCCCACCCCGCGCCAGAAAAGATGGAGACTGCTGCCATCAAACAACCAAAACGCTAAAACCGAAGGAGCAAGAAAACACAGTGAACCGACCCCCAGAGGCAAAGGCCCAAAGGAAAGAGCCGACAAAAAAACACACCGGAACCAAAGGGGCACTACCAACCGAGGAGAAGACAGAGCACGCTGACCAGAGACCAGGATGGTGCAAGCGGCGCACGAACAGGCCGGAGGTGAAATGACGCACAAGACAGCTGACTAACGGTGCAGAAGCAACACCAAGACCGAAAGCAAGCTGAAGCGGCTCCGCCTGCGCCGCACGAAAAGAGGCGACAGTATGTGGCAAGACGACGGCCCCCAACCCCCACTAGAAAACCAAGCCGAGAGTAAACCAAGCCAACAAGAAGGACCTACCGAAGAAGGGACAGGAAAAGGAAGGACCGCCAAAATACCCCATACTGCCGCCAAGAAAGCACGCAGGTGGGACACCTACCACGAAGCCACCCGACCACCAACCGGAGGCGAGACCACAAGGCAGAACATAAGCAGCCCCGACAAGGCCCCCCCGAGCCCAGGAAAAAGGCGGAGCCGCGAGAAGATCTCGGGCGCGACCACCGAAACCCAGGCGGCACAAGGAGATGGAACGTCTGCCGAACAGAAAAACTCCGAAGCATGCAAGCCCGCCAGGAGTTCAGAAACGACGGGTCCGACGCGAGACATCGCAAGAACCCCCCCAAAAAAATAAAACAACAACAACCGGCAGGGCAAGCTAGGAAAACCAAAGAAGGCGGAAGGGTCGCCGCCAGAACAGGACCCGAACCAAGGGGCACGAACAACTGCAACAGACCGAGACAAAGAAGCACATCACAGGACACAGGCTGACCAACGCCTAAGAACACACGCAGAACATTCCTGCTGCAGAAGAGGCAGGAAGAAAGAGCAGAAGCACAAAAAAAAAAAAAAACCAGGAGAACAACCAGGGGTGGACAATCAGGCAGGGACAAAAACCCCACGCAATCCCCAGGCACAAAACGGCAGCAAAGCGCCACTCCACAACCGGACACAGGAACAAGGACACGCCACCGTGAAACACGGTACCAATGCTCACGTGCAGCAGCAGCAGCAGCAACAGGCACCACTGCAACATGCAACATGTAAATAGCAACTCCCCTCTGCAAAGGCAGAGAACGGAGCAGGCAGACCCCAGACAGGGCCAACGGAGACACGACAAAACCCTGCAGGCCCAGAAACCTGCACCAGGCGACCGACGGCGGAGAAACCCCGCTCGATACCTGCTGGATGAGGTACTGGGAGCTCTTTTACACCTCAAGCCCGGCCCAAGGTCAGGCCAGACCGGCCAGAGGATGGCCCACCAGGCAGCTGCTAGGAGCAGTCCACCGGCCCACATACCCCCACAACCAGGACGGGCCGGAACTGCCATACGAAAACAGGCCAGTGCGCCCTGGAAGTCCACGGACGAACCAGCAAGAAGGCTTATGCTCGCAAGTAGGTCGTGTAACAAGCACAGACCACTGAAGGTAATACAGTGTTCCCCAAAAGTGCCAATAGCACCACTGCACTCCACTGGTACTATCCCGCAAGTTCTACCAGATAGGCGGGACCCAAGAGCCAGAGCTCAAATCCTGCAAGCACAGCCAGGAGCCTCACCAGGTGAGTACAGAACCAACCCTACAACCCCCACACCTCACAACATTAAAAAAGGAGGGTCCCCTGAACGACTCCAGCATGGGTTGGACATGCACAGGAGGGGGACAGGAAGGGGTGATAAAGGGACAGTCACTGGTGTGCGAACGGTCTCAGTCGTACAAAATTATACCTAAATAAAGACAGGTATATGAACACCGCCGCATCCAGCGCCCGGCCCAAAGACGCCAGACCGCAGAAACTCACCTGGCGAATGGTGGCTCGAACTTGACACGACTCAAACGTGCCCAGAAGAACTTGGGAGCACCGCCAGGTGAAGACGCCAGAGCCGGACCCGCAGGAGAACAGGTAGAGGCGAAGGAGGCGGTCCACACCCATGACACAGAAAACCGCGGTGTCCTCCCCACAACTGGGAACCAGGACACCCCTGGCGCAAAGGGGCACATACCGCAGCCAGGGAGAAGAACGAGAGGCGAAGCACTGTAGCAAAAAAGGGCGCAAAACCCCAGCACTGAACCATCGCCCAGACCAAAACAAACTCCACGGCGCATGCGCATAACACGCTGGCCGAACCGCACACCCTCCCTGCGGGAAGGCGCCAGCCAGGACTATTGCACGAGAAAAAGAGCCAAAAGAGGAAGCAGGAACAATAAAACCGGCCAAAGAAGCAAAGAGCCCCAAAAAAGGGAACCCAAACGGGCGACAAGTAGCCCAACCGGGCGACAAGTAGCCCAACCGGGCGACAAGTAGCCCAACCGGGCGACAAGTAGCCCAACAGGGCGACAAGTAGCCCAACAGGGCGACAAGTAGCCCAACAGGGCGACAAGTAGCCCAACAGGGCGACAAGTAGCCCAACAGGGCGACAAGTAGCCCAACAGGGCGACAAGTAGCCCAACAGGGCGACAAGTACTAGGAGCCGACAGACGTTCCAATAATGCGGGAAGTAGCGAAAAACCTTCCCATACCCTCGAGAACACAGAAGCCAACACTAGTCCCGAAGGCACACGAAGGCGCAGGCGCACCCGAGATCAAAAGTCACGCAGAACCCCATCGAACGGAGAAACATGACAAAAACACCGTCCCAAAAAGCGGGGGAGGAAACATCCACCCACAGGACGGAACCAACCGACTCAAAGGCCAAGGAACCGAGCCCGGGGAGGGGCCGACGTCCAACAGCACGTACGGCGAGTGGGGAGGAAAGACCCCACTCCGCGTAACCACAAGCCCCGCCGAGAGGGGGATAAAACCCCCCACGGGGTCTAACGGGGCCAAGGCCCCCCCAAGTCAGCCCCTCCCCAGCCCCGGGAACCTACACGACAGGCCCCGGGGCCGAGCCGTTCCCCCAAAGCCCCGGCCGTACCAGAAAACCGGGGCAGCCGTGAAAACACTAAGGAAGGGAGCCCACTGGCAGACTCATACAACACGGCTGGAGGAACAGGCCCAAATGCCCCCGTCACTACCCCGGAAGGGGAATTCCCCGAGACTGCCCGAGTCTCAACACCACCAAACACCCCGCCCTGAACCTACAGACGGTAAGGAACCGGATACAGGCAGGAAGGGTGAACCAGGGGAAAGACAAGGGGGCGTGGATGGAACCGAAGCAACCAACACCCCCAAGTCCCAAAACGAAATACAACGGGGCAGCCCCGGGGCTCCCGGGGAGGAAACCACGAGAACGTTGCCACCACCAAGGCTCAAGTGCAACGCCCCTGCTGCCCGCACCCGCTTTGTTAGCACAACTGGGTAACCGAGCCACAACGAGCAACCAAACTCGCAGGACACCGGGTCGAAGGTGTCACCGACCCCACAGGCAGCAGACGGAGGCAAAACAGAGAGTCACCCAGAGACAAAAGGTGAGAGCAACCCTCAAACTCGCTGTAAGCGAGGGGGGGGCTCTGGGGTCACATCCATCGGACCCGCGCGCCCCCAGGGGTTTCCCAGGGTCCCGAGCGTTTACTTTAAGAGGACTCGCGCTCAGGTAATCCCAGGCAGGGTACTGCTAACCGGCACCCAAGCTACCAAACAACTTTCTAAGAGCTGAACCCCCGGGACGTGTACACTCACGGGGACCTAGCAGGGGGTACCACCAGAAATACTCAGAACACAAGGGACACAAGGGGCAAGAACGAAGGCAGACCCCCCCACCAGGTATATAAACAAAAGAAAAAGAAAAACCCCGCAAGAGGACAGCGTACCCAAGCGGAACAGAGCCGGCCGCTATGATTGGTAAAGACAAGCTGCACAGTACCCCGCGCCCCACCAGTGCAAACACTGCCCCTTACTCTAAGGCGAACAAGGGAGACAGAACACCCGAGCACACAAAGAGCGGCCGAAAACCAAGCGGTAAACGGCCAAGCAGGGGCAGGACCCAAGGAACTTGTGGAAGGTGGCCCCAAGCCCCAAGGGCAGTACTTACAGGGCACCTAGGGAAGGGAACCCTAGGCGCATGCAGCCCGAGTACTGAAGAATCACACCCGGCTCACGCACCACCTAGAAAACAGACACCACACTCTAGGTACAGTGCTGAAACAACCACTGGAGCCGGAGCACATAACCATTGCCTATAGCATCAGCCGAAGAACTGATGGGTGGATAGCCGGCGTGGGAGGTCTGGGGCTCCCCCTTCCCCCTCCCGGGGAGGGGGGAGCTGCGCAGACAGCGGCGCGGTGACGTATGACGTCATACTAGTTTCCGTGTTTTCTGTTGATGAGTTCTATTCACTAGTTCGGCTTAGGTAGCAATTTTCACCAGAATAGGGGTTTGTTTTGGAATGCTTACCTTTCTGGATGCTTGACCCGGTCGATGGCAGACATAGAATGCTTCCAACCACACGGGGGTTTCTATAGGCCATTGCTCCCCTTGCCTCTCTGAGGGGGCCAGGTTCTGGCTCGTGGTCCCCGGTAGGCCCTAGAACTCCATACACATGACTGATGCCAAAGTCTGACATTAGCATATCAGCCGGTAAAGCTCCGGGGAGCCGACGGGGCTCCCCCCAGAAAAAAGGTCTACTGATTTATCCACACAGCAAATTATGAAAGAAACTAGACATACATATAAAAAAGCAATGAATAACATGCAAGGCAGCAAACAATAACAAATCATAAATTGTATTAGTGCTAACTGTGGTACCTTAGAAGTTGAAGATCGGAGACACTCGACTGCATTATCATCTTCCATTGGAGTACAATTAGTTTGTAGTGTGTGCTGAATATTAATAGGGGACAGTGGTATGGACACACCAGCTACAATCTGAGGGCTCATTGAAGCCGAGTAAGTTTTTTCTCCCATTACTGGTCTAGGATGTGTTGGTTGTGATGCTTTGTTTACTGTTATTTCTTTGTCTGTGATTACTGGTACTGTTGATGCTGCTGATCCAATTGATGGTACGATTACTGGTGCTGTGTTTGCATGAGCTCTCTCTCTTACTACTGCAACTTTGTCTCTCTGGTGTGACACCGTATGCTTTGTAGCTGTGAAAGTTTCAGCAGTGATTGAAGCTGCTGTAATAGAAGTTGTATTAATAGGTATTATAACCGAGACGATAGTGGTTTGGGTCGTGTCTGTGGCAGCTTGGGTTGTGCCTGCGGTGGCTTGGATCATGCCCATGGCAGCTTGGGTTGTGTCCACTGTAGCATGATGTGTGTCCGTGATAGCTTGGTGTGCATCCACAGTGGTTTTGGGTGCATCCACAGTGGCTTGGTGTGTGTCTACAGCGGCTTGGTGTGTGTCCGTGGTAGCTTGGTGTGTGTTAACAGCACCTTGATGTGTGTGTGCAGTAGCTTGGTGTGTGTCTACAGCGGCTTGGTGTGTGTCCGTGGTAGCTTGGTGTGTGTTAACAGCACCTTGATGTGTGTGTGCAGTAGCTTGGTGTGTGTCCACGATGGCTTGGTGCATGTCCACAGTGGTTTGGTGTGTGTCCTTGGTGGCTTGGTGTGTGTCCATGGCAGCTTGGTGTGTGTTAACAGCAGCTTGATGTGTGTCCTCAGTAGCTTGGTGCATGTTCACAGTGGCTTGGTGTGTGTCAGTGGTGGCTTGGTGTGTGTCCACGATGGCTTGGTGCATGTTCACAGTGGCTTGGTGTGTGTCAGTGGTGGCTTGGTGTGTGTCCATGGCAGCTTGATGGGTGTCCACAGTAGCTTGGTGCATGTCCACTGTGGTTTGGTGCATGTCCACAATGACTTTGTGTGTGTCCATGGTAGCTTGGTGTGTGCTTCTGTCGGCTTCAGGTTGTGTGGTGGCTTGAGATATGTCAGTGGTAGCTTGGGCTGCATATGTAAAGGAGTCTTCTATATCCATGGCATCCATGATTATACTCTGGGTACTAGTAATGCCTGAGAATTTGTCAGTGATATCTGAACGTATAATGGTTAATTTATTACTAGCTGTATTTGAAGCATCTGAGGTAGCTTTGGCTGTGACTGTGTTAGCTACAGTTACACTCAAAGTATCTTTATTTGAGGTGGTGCTTGCAGTTGTGATATCTGAAGCCAAGCATGATATATTATTGATCTTATGCATGGTGTCCAAAACCTGGTCTGTAATGACTGCATTAGGTACCATCACAGCTTCATTGGTGGCAACAAAGACAACATCAGTAATTTTGGTGGTAATGGAGTCTGAGGTAATGTTTGAAGGTGAGGTATCGGCATGCTGGGAGCATATCGTGTGATGAGCTGGGTCCAAGGAGGAGCTCCCTGATGTTGCATCCATCTTTACAATACCCATCTCTTAGTACACTTGGAGGTCCTGTTTTCAATTAAATAAAGATACATGTTAATGTAATCAAAGTATGGGTTTAATTTTCACTTTTAGAAAATAAAATTATGAATTATGAGCATTATGAAGAATTCCAATAAACACTATCACAGGCCCTAAACATCTTTTGGAGACAACCTAAATGCTGGTGCTATCCCTGACATACTTAAAACAGCAGAGATTGTGCCACCTCACAAAGGGGGTAGTAAAGCTAATGCAAAAAATTTATAGACTAATAAGTATAACATCACACATCATAAAAATCTTAAAAAAAAAAAAGTGCCAAGAAGATCACAAAACACATGAAAGCACAATGGCACTTGTCATATTTCTATCTTTTTTGTGACATAGAAAACACTTAAGTTCATTAACTTATCTATGTGAAATAAGCATTATTCTGAGATAAATATTGCGGGTTCTGAGCTCGACGAGCGATGAAAAATGCAACTTTTATACAACTACATGTATGTTCAGTTTTACTTAAAATATTTTTTCTGGTAGAGGTTTTACATACAGATTATGTTTCCGTCTTTTATCAAGATGTTTTCAACAATTTTCTTCAGGCGATTGTCTGTTCCAACATGATTGCACATTTTTGGAATTCGATACATGGGTTGACCCAACTGATACTTGGGTCAGATTCCAATATGGTGTCAGACATATGTTCATATTATATATACAGCATATATAATTAATCTTTGTATGTGCCTTGTCCATATTTACGTCCCCCTATCCACCCCCATTTATCCTTATTTCTTCCTTTATATTGTACTCCTCTCCTATCTCTTAGAGAGGCGGACTCTTTCAGCCCGCCTCTCAACTGTCAAGCAATCAACTGTTATTAACTACTAACTTTTTTTTTCTCCACACACACACACACCCAGAAAGCAGCCCGTAACAATTGTCTAACTCCCAGGGACCTATTTTCTGCCAGGTAACAGGGGCATCAGGGTGAAAGAAACTATGCCCATTTGTTTCTCGCCAGCGCCGGGAAACGAGCAGAGAGAGAGGCCTGTTACCTAATGCCCCGCAACTCTGATGAGCCTACCGGTCGCCCAGACAGGATCACAGTGAACCAATGGAAGAATGGTAGACAGTTGGTGTGGGACTACACTTGCATTTCAACTTTAGCCAACACCTATGTTGACTTCAAAGCTGCACAGGCAGGAGGTGCTGCCAATCACCGGGAAGCAGCCGTCGCATAAATACAGAGATCTTGATCACCACAACAGTTCTGTCCCCACTGCCTCAGAGACACTTGGTGCCTGGGTAAAGTGCTGCTAGTTTTTTGAAGGAGCTGGGGTCCAAGCTAAATGAAACTAGAGACCCTAGAGCCGCCAGTTTCCTCTTTCAGCGCTTTAGTCTTAGTGTAGCGATCCAGAGAGGAAATGCTCACTGTATCCATGGTTCCTGCCCGCCATCTGAGGAGCTGAAGGAACTCTATAACCTGTGACAAGTAGCCTTGTACCCTGCATGTAACCATTATTGTAACCCTTTTTGTGATATGTAATTTATATTATATATATAAATATATATATATATATATATATATATATATATATATATATATATATATATATATATATATATATTATATACAAATTTGACTAGATGCATGGGCGAATAGATCTCTGCAGTTTCCTTAAATTCTATAATCTTATATTGCACAACTTGTCAAGTCAAGACGCACTTACCTGGTTTATGGAATAGTGGCCCTCGTCCTGTTAATGGTGACTTGCTGTCGTTGTAGGGTTTAGGCGCCTACAGCAATTGCAGCTTTTGTGGTAGTATGAGGTACACGCTGCTGGCTCTCGGTGAGTGGATCCCAACCCAACGTAAACAACTCTATTTCACTACGCTATAATATAAATCTTCTTTATTAACACACACATTAATTAGTATTTATTGCATTATATATAGAAATAATTACCACGATTTCTACTTTACACTTTACAAATTTTAATTATATATTAAGATTTATACATTAAATTTCCTAGAGATAACTAATGCATGAGGCGGATTTACTCACTGCGTGAACTTTTTCAGCGATCTGTACAATTACCCAAGACTACCCAAGCTACCCAAAGCCTTCTAGCATTTATAATAATGACGTATTCATTTATTCATTTATTCATTTATTTATTTATTTATTTATTTATTTATTTATTTATTTATTTATTTATTTATTTATTTATTTATTTATTTATTTATTTATATACAAGAAAGTACATTGGGTTTGTGAGAATACATAGCAAAGTATTTACAATCTTGTAAAGCCACTAGTACGCGATACTAGTTGTGATAGAGTGTAGAGAGAATGTAAAAAAACTAGAAAAAACTGGGTATAAAGTAAGATTCATGTGGATCCCTTCACATGTGGGAATACTGTGGAATGAGGTAGTTGATGACATAGCGAAGAAAGCCACGGAAAAAACTCTTGTTGATGTTGTATGTCAGTTAACCTTGAAACAGATTCAGATTCAGATTCAGATTCAGATGTTTATTCAGGTAAGGTATATACATACAAGTGATGTTACATTAATGGATTGATATATAGATAGAGCTAGTACATACAATGCCTAAAGCCACTATTACGCAATGCGTTTCGGGCAAGAAAAACATTAATATCTAGAACTTAATACTAATTGAGCATAAAGAATAAAAAGTGTTGAGAACAAATACAAATAAAGATAAAAAAAGGGGGAACATGACTGAAAAAGCAGCACAAATACAATAGGTTGACAAACAGTGTTGATTAAAAAAAAAGAAAATGAAAAAAAAAAAGAAAAAGAAAATAACAGACATGGGTTGACAATAGAGGAGTGAGGTAGATTACAGGGAATTTATTAGGTAGTGTTTAGTTTTTATCTTAAACTGGTTGAGCGAGGTACAGTCTTTAACATGGTTGGGAAGGTCATTCCACATTCTGGGCCCCTTGATTTGCAGAGCATTTCTAGTTTGATTAAGACGTACTCTAGGAATATCAAAACTGTATTTATTTCTGGTGTGGTGCTCATGGGTTCTGTTACAACCTTCTATGAAGCTTTTAAGATCAGGATTGGCATTATAGTTTAGCGTTTTATATATGTATAATACACATGAGAGAATGTGCAGTGACTTAATATCTAACATATTCAGAGATTTGAGTAGGGGTACCGAGTGATGTCTGGGGCCAGAGTCGGATATTGTTCTAATAGCAGCTTTGTGTTGGGTAATTAGAGGACGTAAGTGATTTTGGGTAGTAGAACCCCAAGCACAAATACCATAGTTGAGATAAGGATAGATAAGAGAGTAATAGAGAGTCACCAGGGCAGGGCGTGGTACATAATATCTGATCTTAGAAAGAATGCCCACAGTTTTTGAAACTTTTTTTGATATATTTAGAATGTGTCCCTGGAAATTCAGCTTGTGGTCAATGAGAATGCCAAGGAATTTGCCATCTAATTTGTTACAAATTTGGGTATTGTTTATTTTGAGATTTATATGACTAGAGGATTTATTGCCAAACAGAATATAGAAAGTTTTGTCAATGTTAAGGGTGAGTTTGTTGGCAGTTAGCCAAAGATGGACTTTATTTAGCTCAGTATTTACTGTGGCATTTAGAGCAAGAGGGTCAGGACTGGAGTAAATGAAGGTTGTGTCGTCAGCAAATAGAATTGGTTTGAGGTGTTGGGAGGCATTTGGAAGGTCATTAATGTAGATGAGAAAGAGGAGAGGGCCAAGTATGCTAACAAATAAAAACAAGACTCAAGGTGATTCAGGAGGGTGAAGAAATGATAAAGAGAATGGCAATGGTGGACAGTAGTAACACACTTAAGAATTATTCAATAATAAATACAAATTCGTCCTTCACTTATGGTAAAGGAAAGTCTACTTGGAAGGATTCAATTTACATGAGATTACGATTAGGATATAAATATATCTGGCAATACGGTGTTGATGTCAGTGAAAAAGATAAGGAGTGTAAATTATGTAGTATGCCGTACGCCCACACCTTAGAACATTATGTATTAGAGTGTCACCTTATTGAAAAATATAGAAATAAGGAAATAAATAGTGTACCACATCAAATTGTTTGGATGTGTGATAATGGTATAATAGACAGTATACTTAGGAGCTACAAGAATTTTGCCCCAAGAATGTAACAATTATATGCTGTACTTGCTGTATTACCCTGCAATGTAAAATGGGATTCTTGTACTGTTATATGTCTATTTGTACTCATTGAATTTGTGCGCCCCTTGAGGGACTTGAAGTAGAGGGGGGTAGAAATAGCCTAAGCTACTCTATCCCTTTGAGATGTATTTATTGCTTATCTCAATAAACATACTTGAACTTGAACTAGCTCTATCTATAAGTCCACCAATCTTTGTAAAAATTTCTTGTATGTATGTACCTTACCTAAATAAACATTTATTTTAGACTAGTGGGTACTATATCAGTGTAGTCCTTGCAGGCATTGCTTTATACAATTAATACCCCTGTTTTTGTTAATCTTGTAATGTGGGGCATTTGCCCTTAAACTGAACTTGAGGGTCTTTTATATTTAGTATTTATGTATTTGAACCTAAATTGGGTTGCATAATTTAATGTTCGGCTAGTAGCTTCGTTCTTTAGTTCATAAATTGGTTTCGGTCAAATTTTTATGTACTTGTGCCTTGAAAAGGTGGTGTGAAGTAATGTAAATTTATTCTGTATACTGCAATACTTTCCTAGAATAAAGTACAAAACATTGACTGGTAGCTGTGTTTCATGTATAATTTAATTGAAGTTTAAATAAAATGTTCCAGAATGTGGATTGACGTCCAGAACTTCATTCTTCGGTTGGAAGGTCTCTTAAATTGCAGAAATGGGTGTAAGGTAGTGAACTTTAATTTGAATACTTTTGTATTAAAGTGTACTGTAAAATTTGCTAGTTAGACAATCTATAGCATTATGGGCAAAGATAATCTACTATGCTGCTTAAATGTAGATATCAATGTAAATGGATATAATTGCCATGAAAGGTTTTGCAGTTGTGGACTAGATTCTCAACTTTAAATGTACTTATTAAAATCTAATATTTGACTAGTCTTTTCCATCTTAAGTTTGATCAGCATTATTTAAATTCTACTAAAATATGTAGGAAAGGTTAAAATATTGTAAATGCATATAAAGCTGTAAAATTTAAAGAATTTTCCCCTCTGGATTTAAAGTATTGTACCTATACATTAAAAAAGTAGCATAAAATGTCATTGAATTAATTCCTCTAACATTTGGCAAAATATTTATTTCGGGTGCCAATGAAGATTAAAAGTAACAAAGCACTGCCTTAAATGTCTGTTCTACTAAACTTTGAGCTGAATTGAATGTTAAAGTAAATTTTTTTTTATATAGTACTTATAGATGTGTGTAACAATGTCCTACTGTTACAAGGTTGCTCTGAGTAACCTACAGGGGGTAATGCAATGATAATCCTACCCTTTCATAGGACCAGGCAGTCCTGCTGATTTGTGACTTGAATTTTTTCAGAGCTCTGTAGTATGTTAAATTGATGGACTAGAAGTGTATAGGTCTAGGCAAGTTAACTTTAACAATGTTACATTAATTCACAGGGCTTGTTCACTGATTGGATGCAGCCAGAGGTTTAGTGCTTGGAATGTAATGTAAAGGGGTTTACATAAAGCATGTGTAGTGATTTGGCACCAAATTGACATTGTGCACTAACACCCAACAATCACATGAAAAATGATAGGCCTTGCTGTGCCAGTCTCTGAACGTTCATAGTTAGGCATTAGTGTTGTCTGTCTGATGGTTTTTATTAAGGTGATTATCCTTGGTACTCTGTATTTGTCTTGGTGTTTACGTAAATTATGTTTACAGGCGTGGAATCCTACATGTCAATGTTCGCAAATGATGCAAAATTAATGAAGTTGACAGATGAGGATTGTAGGATCCTCAAAGAGGACCTGGACAGGTTGCAGATATGCAGAGACATGGCTACTAGAGTTCAACAAGAGTAAATTTTAAAGGTGCTTAGGAATCTTCAGTGATAGCATCCAGGAACATTAGTTTACCACAACCTGAAAATGTAAATACTTGATGAAATAAAATACTGTACAATGTATACCCTTAATATTTTAATAAATTTGTAAATGGCAGAGACTTTTACATGCCTAGTTGATCCTGAAATTAGGCAAGATCCAATCATTCTGGAAATTACTTAACTTTAGTGAATCAGTGTTCAACAATGATGTTTGAAGATAAATTGCATAATTTATTCCATGGGAAATAAGTTCAGCTTTGAAATATGAACAAAGCTAAGCTAAACTAATTTTGACAACTTGAAGCAAATAGTTTTTTATAAAAAAAACTTTGCATAGGGATACATACAACACTTAACTGGTAAGTTGAGCCAAGGAACTGCATAATTGCTTGTAATTATCAATCGCTAGTAAGTATGGAGAATAGTCAATGTGGAAACTGCTGAAATTAAAGTTGCCTCAATATTTCAAATCTTAACTTTAAATTTGTTAGAATAAATTCTCAGGCTATGAAATAACTGGAAATTAGTGTAAAAGTGCATGCAAACATAAAATGATAATAGCACCTGTTAAAACTGTCCTTTTTATGTACAGTAATTTAAGAAATCAAAGCAATTGGGGAATAGTATTCATAAATGCCTTCCTAAGGACCTAGAACTCGGTCCTAATCATTCTGGATGCCACTAGGCATACATAACAGTAAAATTCTAGACATTGGAACTGCATAATGGGCTAGGTTGTCTTATCACTTGTCTAGAGACCATAGGAAAGTATTTTTTGGCCTTGCTTCTTAATCTTAAGGAATTAAGGTAAGGTAATTATCAAAGGCACCAAACCAGGAAGGCTATGTAGCACCATCAAAGTGCAAAATAATCAGAGGGAGTTAAATATTGGACTACCAATATGAGAAACGCATAAGGTGAACGATATTGAATATCATTCGCAAAGAACTCTGTCGAGGGACAAGTGACCACGAGGGACGGTCGGAAGTAATTAACAAAAGGCACCTAACCAGGAAGGCTATGTAGCACCATCAAATGCGCAGAATAATCAGAGGGCACTAAATATCACAAAGGATGCCAATACGAGAACAAAAAAGCATAAGGCGAACGATATCAAAAGTATCAGTCGCCAAGAATTCTATTGAGGGACAGGT